CAAGAACGGAAAAGGGAGAGAGAGAGGGAGACAGGAAGGAAGGAAAAAAGTTCCAGAGTATAGAGAGGATGCACGTGCGAACACATCGCCGTACATTGAGAAAGAGAGAGAGAGAAAGAGAGTGGGAGGGAGAGAGGAAGGCAAAAGGCAGCGACGCGACTTTGCTACGACAAACTGCGGTCGCGAACTTCGTAAATCTTGCTTCGCAGCAGCAGCAGAAGCAGCAGCAGCAGTAGCCGCCTAGCTCGCCGCGAGTATATAGGTATCTTATAATACTACTATATAGCCAGCGACCTCTGCGCCATTCCATCCCTTTTTCTATGTGACATTCCCGCGTCCTTTTAGCTCTTTCTCTCTGCGCACACGCGTCCGCGCGTATACACATATATACATTGTATATATACGTCAGTCTCAAGACGTTTCAGTCGCGCGCGCGGCAGATAGCGAGAGTCGAGAGCGAAGAAAAGGAGAGAGAGAAAGAGGGTGGTACACGTAATGCAAGTCGTGGCCAGGATATATAATTAAACTTGGAGCTTGCCGAGTTTTCGGACCCGAGCTTTTTCATCCTCTTTTTTTCTCTTCTGCTTTCGTTACAATAATCCCCTTTCCTCTCTCCCACGCAGCAGCAGCAGTGACGTGCGTTCATATATTTTTACGCTTTTATTATTACCTATAACTATATAAAGATTTTTGCTTCATGCCTACATTTTATCGCCGCGCATACGCGTATAAAGTTTCGAGCGCGGGCGTGCGCGCGCGTAATAAAAAAGAGAGAGAGGTACGTTGCTGCGGCCGCCGTTGCACGCGGGCGCGATATTGTGCATTGCTGAGCATCGAAAATTATGCGTATATACTATATAGAGCGCGTGTATGCGCGTGCACGTCGGGGCAAAAAATTCATATATATTTATTTTTTTTATTTCAATCTACTCGAGAGCTACAAACACACAAGGCACACACGATTTTTTTCCCCGTTTCGCATATACACATCGATACATTGTGTTATACCTGCAGCCCTATGTATATTTTCCTCTCGGCTTTCACCGTTCGAGAGGAAAAATAAAATCTTCGAAATCAATGGGAAAAAAAAATAAAAATAAAAAAAAAGTTGCAGATATGAGAAAATAAAAGCAGCCACGAACTGCTGCTGTTGCCGGCGCTGCGGGTGGGCTGCAGAATTTTTCTCATTGCTCAAACAAAATGTGCACACCAATCGGGGGATGTACGCGTACGCGTCGAGATTTTGGGTAAACTAGGGAAAATCAATACGACGCGTGCACGCGTTAAGTATATACGTAGTTCACATTATACATGCATACATGTATGGATACATGCATACGTACAAGAGACATATACATAAGTACGAATCGGATTATGCATGCGATTTGCCATTTCCGCGAGCAAACATTATATATTATGTATTTACGAATATAACGCGCTCGTCTGTGTGCAGGGGCGTGCATGTGTGTATGTGTGTGTGTGTGTGTGTGTGTGTGTGTGTGTGTGTGTGTGTGTGCGTGTGTGTGTGGGCGATGCATCAGCCAGCATCATTGATATTAAGCCTCGGACAAACCGCGGAGCTTTTAAAGCCAACGTGCCCTGATGGAAGGGCTGACCCCTGCAGGTACATATATAGGAATATTTGCCCAAAATATATCCGTCTATGTTATTCGACAATGCTGAATAATAACGCTGTAAATATGATGACTCACATACACGTACACGTATTATTATTACAGCATAAATGTGAATTCAAACAGCGTATAACGTTGATGTCTTAATGGACACTCAAAAGCGTAATATTACGCAGCATTCGATTCGCAAAATGTTCATAGTCATATATCTTAGTGAACCCGTTAAAAGTCGGTCAATTAAAAAATTTTTCACTGCCTCTGCTGCTGCTGCTGCTGCTGCTGCCGCTATCTTGGCTCACCCCCTCGCGGCACGGGATGCAATGGAGCGCAGTAGCAGTAGCATATAAGCGGAGGAGAGAGAGAGAGAGAACGAAACGAGCGAGCCTCGGTCCAAGGCGTTTTTTTCAATTAAAACTCGCGCTGCTCGTCTATCTTTCTCTCTTACTCTCCCTCGAGCTCTCGCTCTTCGTAAGCTTTTCGAAGTAGGCCAGTTTATGACTCGAGGCTTGATATGTAACTCACTCTCGCACATTCACGAACACACACGGACGCATATGACACAGAGAAACGCAGACACCCAAACACACACACACACACACGCCCTTCGACGTCAACGAGGAGGAGGACGACGCGGTGGCAGTGGCGATACACTAATTAGTATGCGAGGGAGATGCGCGCGTACATACCAACCAGAGGAAGAGAGAGAGAGAGAGAAGGCGAAACACGGACAGGGTGAGAAAGTTCGTTAGTAGGATTACTGGTGTGTGTGCGGGTGGGTGCATGCTGCTGCACGTGAAATTTCGGTAGGGTAATGAGGAAATTAGAGCCCTGCAAAAGTTTTTCCATTAATTGCGCGCGATAGCGTATGAAAAGTTGAAAAGTTGTTACATAATGCGCGCGCGCGCGCACGGGACAATGAAATTGTAAACAATCGATCCTCGTCTGCGCGCGCGCGCGGGCTTATATGCCAGCTATACGCGTGTATTATACGATTCAATTACGAGACTTAAAGTCGAGTTAAACGCCTGCACGCACGTACGTACGTATATGTATGTAAGCGTGTATAAGCTTCCACCGCGCACGGCAGGAGCAAAACAACGCGGCGGCGAAATGGATTTTTGTTACTCGATAAATAAAATCATCGGAGCTGTTAGTCCCGAAATACTATATCTATATAGTTGGAGCGGGGCTTAGGGTTTTTTCCGCAGCTCTTACACAACACTTGCTTCTTGATTTATAGCCAGCGTAAAAAAAGAGGCGCGGAAAAAAACGAAGGAAAGACGAATCTCTCGTGTCGGTATACGTTTACGAAACATATTTAGGGTATATAAGGGAAAAAGTCGTTGCGTCAACACGTATATCATTAAGGTGTATAGTCGGGCAGCACGTCACACGGGGGTGTGTGCGTATGTGTGAGAAGCAGCAGTGGCAGCGTAACACCTCCTCGGGGCTATATACACAAACGTTCGCGCGATAAATGAAATGTGCTCGAGGGCTTGACGACGACGACGACGACGACGACAGGCTCCCTAAGTTATTTTTAATTCGCAAAATATATATGTGCTGCGACGATCGTGCGGTGGCGATAATTGTACGTGCTGCTGCCGTCGCTGCTGCAGTATCACACACGTAACCATCTCTCGAGTTTTCTTTTTTCCTTTTAATTATTCAAAAGATCGCGCGCGCGTGTTAGTAACTATTCGAGGCGTTTTATTTTATTCCTTCTTTTTTTCTTCTTTTTATTTCTCGACAGTAGGCACGACCTCGACATCTGCAGCAGCAGTAGTATAGCAGCAGGAGGAGAGTCGCTTTGCCATTCCGTCCGACTCTCGGTACTTTGTAAATTTTTTAGCTTTTAGTCCCGTTTGGAACTCGCTCCCGAGCTCCTCCACTCGGCGCCTAGGCGGCATTAACCCGTACGTATAGTACGTATATGGTATACATATAGCGCGATGTGTTTTCCTCTCTATCTCTATCTCTCCCTCATTCCCCCGGCTGATCCGATGAAAATTTCACAGACCTGACTCCTCATTATTTCGACGTAAAGCGCGTGTACGTATATATGTGTGCGTTTGATGAAAAAGCAAAGTCGACCGACTCTCTACCCCGCTGTGTGTGCCTATATAAACCCTCCTCCCCTGCTGCGCTGCTCGGCTGCAGAATCGCACGTATCCAGCACAGCAATGTACGTTAATTTATGCGTATACAATATTCACACGTTGCTAAGCTTGTTATGTTATATTTTTTGTTGTTTAACCTCCCTGCCAAGATATTCCTCTCGCGTTGTTATTATAATTTTTTTTCCTTCCCACGCACACAGCCTGCGATATTAAATTCTCTCGTTTCGCTGTACATTGCTCGGTGGAGCACGCAATTACTTACACCAACACAAATACACCGTGGGTACGTGTATGTGACCCACATATTTATCACTAGATAGACAATGAAACGTTGATGCTCGTGAAAAACATACCTACAAACATCGCAAGCTCTCTTGCCGGGATCAATTGATGGATTCGGGTACGCGATAATAATACAACGCGCGCAGCTCTCGCGCACACACAGACACACGTCCCCCTTTTAGTTGTCATTTCCCTCATGATTCATGAAATTCCCAGAGCTCATATATGAGGCATGTACTTGTAATATTCAATATGTAAGTCATATAGAGGCTGCGCGCATACACGAGCGCGACGTGTATCTATAATATAGTGGTGGTGGTGGTGGAGCTGTGTGCATGTGTACGTTGAAATTTCCCTTTTGCCTCGTCGCCCGCGCGCCTCGGAGTCTGCGCGTAAAAGCCAACAATGCGCATCATCCACCCGCATCGCTTGTCGCTATACGTATAGGTATATAAGCTTTTTCCCCCTACCCTTTTTCTCTCTATCTCTCTATATACACCGTGAAGCGTAGATATATCGTGAACTATCCTGTACATAGGTATATACCGCTGTGCTGCGTGGAACGAAAACACAGAGGCGAATTTTTCGGTTTATCCATGCGACGACGCCGCGCCCCGCAGTCGCCTGTATATAGTCGCGCGCTCTGTACACGTTGGCCACTTGCTCGACCGGCGCAGTACGTCGTATTATAGCCGCCTCCGCCGCTGCCGCTCGACGACGACGACGGCCCCGCTACGCCGCTGCTACCGAAGCTTGCGAAAGCTGTATGTTCTGCTGCATTACGTATATTTCGTTCTTTTTGCCGCAGCGACGCGATATCCTCGTGCAGCTGCACACATAAACACAGACACACGCAGACACACACGTGTACTACTTTATACTATACTATCCGAGATTACGAAAACAAACAGTCGCCCAGCATATAATGTGTAGTCGAGTAACAAAATTTTCCTCTCTGTTTCAGTCTTTCCAAATGTACCGCCCGCACCGGGGATGCCCTGCCAAGGAGAAGATCGTGAGTACATTTTATAATATTTTTTTTCAAACTACAATGATAAAAATAATAATGATAACAGTCATATTGTTATTATTACGCTGTGTGAATGATGTGAGCGTGTGCGTGACTCGACTCTGCGCGTTTGTGTACACTGATCTCCACGTTCGCCAACAAGAAGTGATTTTTGATCGATAATGTTGACGCATTTATTATGTGCGAGTGTTTGCCAAGCGTCGATCGGGAAATTTGTACGCACACACGTGCACATGCATTATATACATTGGCATACACCTACACACCCTTCACACCCACTCGTGCAGACAGAGACGCACACACATCGATCGGAGCCATTAACGCCCTCGAGTACGTGTACGTTTCGCTCGGGCGCGAGGTAGAGTCTCTTTCCTCTCTCGACGTAATCAACCAAGAAGAACAGAAAGCTGCACCGGACATTTTTTCGACCGAAAAAAGTCATCACCGGATTGCCGCACGCGTTTGATGTCGCGCGCTGTTTTTTTTGGTCTGCTCCTTTCTTCTCGGCCTTCCTCGCCTCGCGCTAATGATACTTTTTTACTCTCTTTCCTCGTACCAAATTCTCGACTATCGCGCACGTCCGAGAGCTTTACACGACGGCGACGACATTAAGCTTGCGGAAGGTATAAGATACTCTTGTGCCTGGGCCGCTCATTAAAAGCTCCCGCTCTCTCTCTCTTTCTCTCTGTGCCGGAGCGTACTGCGATATATAGTCGAGGAGCACGGCTCATGGTCTCGTAAATCGCGGCGCCCAGTCGAGTATTATAAGGTCGGAGAGGGCAGTTTTTCGTGCGATGAATTTTCTAACGAGGCACCAGCAGAGCAGTGCAGCTTGTGTGCCTGCGCGACAACACGAAAAGCAGCAGCGGAAACGCCTCAGCGCTGCAGCCGCGCGTGTTGACGACGTTGCCTGTAATCAAGATTACGAACGAGAACCAATGTTTTCGAAGATTAAGCAATTCTTTTTATTTTTCTTCCTCATCCTTCTCGGCCGTCTCGCGAGACTTTTAATCGCTCGACGATCATCCCATCTATTGACTCGAGGCTAATTATATCGTACTTATGCGCCGAGAAGAAGCAGCGAGGAAGAGAAAAGAAAAGGTTTCATTTTTACGGCCATTCTCGCCTTCAAAGTCCGGAGATTATAATACGGAGAAGAAAAAAAGTAGTAGCAGTAGTGCTGGGTTAGCGCTTTAAACCTTACGTATAAGAGTATAACCCACCCCATTGTGTCCGCGAGCGCGCGGCGTCGTGTACTTTCAAAGGAATTTCACCTTATTATGCATGAGGTAATTTTCTATGCTGGCAAAGGAGGAGTGAAAAAAAATTTTCTCCTTCCGCGATGAATTTGCGAACGCGAATATGGACTTAACTTTTGCTTCTCTCCCTTGCCGAGTGCGCGCACGCTAACGCACACGAGGGAATCCCCTCCTGGCTCGATAAAAAAAAACAAAAAAAAACAGAGCCACGAGTGTGCGCGTCGTCACCGTGGCGAACGAAGCCTGAATTTTTAATTAAATTAAAAGAAAAAAAGGGTCACACGAGAGCTCGTGCGTTTCGGTTCGGTTCGAAAACTGCGCGCGTACGCGGGGAGTGACGATGAAATTCGAGTAATTACTTATGTGTAATATACAGGTGTATATTGATTGAGCTCTCTTGTTCCGCGAATCGAGGACACGCTCGTCGCTCGCGTCGCGCTCGAATATACACTAAATGTGACAACTGAATTCCTCGTACAATCAAGCGGCATATTTACAAACAGCCATCGATGGCAAAAATACATTGATATCACTCGTGATAGGCACGAGAGAGACATGGTGATACGAGAGAGAGAGAGAGAGAGAGAGAGAGAGAGAGAGAGAGACAGATCAGAGGCGTCATGTAACCGCGTATGGACGAATATTCAGTTGACCGATGACGCTTGGCATCGAATCGTCCCGTGTATATTAATCCACTCACATAGACACGTTCGCAAAAGCGAATATAAATGTGCAACAATTCCTCGTACGTCGTGGTCAGATTTCGCTTTTCAACAACGACTCTCCGCACTAGATGGAAAAAACAGCTCTGTCGCCGGGCTCGGTGCTGCTGCAACTGCTCACCTGCGGTATCTTGCATGCTAAAAAATGTTTGATTTATTTTCATATTCCGTTTATACAATCTTTGCAATTACAATTTCGTATGTATGTGTAAGTTGACCGGCTGATCAGTGCGTCGAAGTAAAGTCGTATCAATTCGAACGCGTATAGCAAAAGTTCTGTATATATTTTCGAGTGATAGAGATCTTCTTTTGTAAGCGATCGATTTTTTTTTCTCGCCTCTGAATAATGTATCGATCATTTTCGACTTGTGTATGCGTGTGTTTATTAAATAAGTATAAATATACATGTGACTGTTTGTGTATCAATTGATCGAAGAAGGAAATTTCATACGAAACGTTCGCTTGCATTTTGCATGTTTGCAGGGAGCATCTACAGACGCGGCGCCCGGAGATGGAGAAAGCTTTACCGGGTGAACGGACATGTCTTCCAAGCTAGACGATTCAACAGGGTAAGAACATCTTCTTTTATACACCCACTCTTTTCTCATATATATACAACATTCGCGGCGATTGCATATGTCATTGTGCCCGGGCTGCACAAATAAAATATTGAACTCAATATCTGCTAGCTGTGCGCCGTGGCTATACGCGAGCAACTCGCGCACAGTGCGCGAATCGAAACTTCCGAACGTGCGATTTTTCCTTACTTTCTCATTTCTTTTTTGCTTATTTTCTTGACTCGCGCAAGCACAAAAAGCTCCTCGCTCGCTTTTGAGGAGTTTTTTTCTGCCTCCCTTGGAAATTCATCACCGCATTGCAGTGTGTGTGTGTGTGCGCGGCGCATAGAGCCGCGTTATGCGCCGCGCGCGTGTCTCACTGTCGAGAGTTGAGAAAAAAAAAAAAATTCGGGACTCGCACACGCGCTCGTGACTTACAAAAAAGTTGAAACTCTCTCTTAGTGATTTACAAACTGCACGACTGCAGGGATATGTGTGTGTCTGTACGTGCCGCAGTCAGGCTCTCGTCGCGAAAAGTATAATACACTCGTCGTCGCGAGCGCGTCCGTGGCACACATATCCTCCTAGGCTATACTTTATTATTCGCTCAAAACTTTTCAACGGATCTCGCTCGCAGCTGGCTTTAAATATAATACGCCGCGACTGTTGATAGCGTGTATTATGCACGACGAGGCGCATTAAAACTCTTTTAGCACGCTATTATAAAGAAATGAAATTTTTCTCGTACACAGCGCGCCTTTTGCGCCTTCTGCGGAGACCGCATCTGGGGCCTGGGCCGCCAGGGCTTCAAGTGCACGCGCTGCAAGTTACTGGTGCACAAAAAATGCCACAAGATCGTGCGCAAGGCCTGCGTGCCGAGCCAGCAGCAGGCCCAGCCGCCGCAGTCACAGGCGTCGACCTCCGGGGCCGGCGGTGGTCCAGCCAGCGGCGATCATCCATACGGCTTCGATCAATCCAACGGCGATAGATTGCTGCTCCAGGGCCTGTCGAGCCCACCCGGACAGGACGACGACGGAGTCGAGGCTTCGAGCGGCGCCGCAGCCGCCGCGGGTGGCGGTGGCGAGGACAATCTCGGCTTCCGCAACAGAGTGGCCAGCGGCGAGGCCGGCGCCGGGGGTGGCGACGAGTCGGCGCTCGACGAGATCGCCGGGGCCGAGGGCGCCAACGATCGCCAATACAGCCTGTCGGACTTCGAGCTGATACGCGTGATCGGCCGCGGCTCCTACGCCAAGGTGCTGATGGTCGAGCTCAAGGCCACTAAACGCATCTACGCCATGAAGGTGATCAAGAAGTCGCTGGTGACGGACGACGAGGACATCGACTGGGTCCAGACGGAGAAGCACGTCTTCGAGACGGCCTCGAATCATCCGTTCCTCGTCGGGCTGCACTCGTGCTTCCAGACGCCCTCGAGGCTCTTCTTCGTCATCGAGTTCGTCCGGGGCGGCGATCTCATGTTTCATATGCAGAGGCAGCGCCGACTGCCCGAGGAGCACGCCCGCTTCTACGCGGCCGAGATCAGCTTGGCCCTGAATTTCCTTCATACCAAAGGTAAGGAGAGCACGCACGAATTAATTTCGAGATTCTCGAGCTTGATATACATGTATATAATATTTCGCTTCTCGCAGGAATAATCTATCGAGATCTGAAGCTGGACAACGTGCTGCTGGACCACGAGGGCCACGTGAAGCTGACCGACTACGGCATGTGCAAGGAGGGCGTGCGCGAGGGCGACACCACGGCGACCTTCTGCGGCACGCCCAACTACATCGCCCCGGAGATTCTCCGCGGCGAGGAGTACGGCTTCTCGGTGGACTGGTGGGCTCTGGGGGTGCTGCTCTACGAGATGCTCGCCGGTCGCTCGCCCTTCGACATCGCGGGCGCCTCGGAGAATCCCGACCAGAACACCGAGGACTATCTGTTCCAGGTCATACTGCAGAAGACCATTCGCATTCCGCGCTCGCTGTCCGTCAAAGCCGCCAGCGTCCTCAAGGGATTCCTCAGCAAGGAGCCCGCCGAGAGGCTGGGCTGCGGCCGCAGTCCCAATGCATTTTTGGAGATCATGACGCATCCGTTCTTCAAGCCCATCGATTGGGAGATGGTAAGAGAGCTTTTATCCCTTTACTATATAAGGTATGCTACAAATTCGGACACTAATTACTTTTCCCTTTGGCAGTTGGAACAAAAGCAAGTCACTCCACCTTACAGACCGAGACTGGATTCCGATCGAGATTTGGCCAACTTCCCGCCAGAATTCACCGACGAACCAGTGCATCTGACGCCCGATGATCCGTAAGATATTATTACCTCGCATTTCGCTTATACAAGCTCTATCTCTATCTCTCTCAGGCCTTTTCCTTTGCTCGTCGTGTCCTCCATACACGTACATGCACACATACGCGTACTACTAACACATATGCCGCATACATTCGCAATGGAAACATAAATATATGAGTTACACGTATGACGCGCACAGCAGCCGAATCTACGGCTCTCTGCTCGCTCGTTTCCCCGCTGCGGATTCTACTAATGCATTATGCAGTATACTACTCGCTGCATAAAGAGTTCACTGAATCGAAAGTTAAGGTCGGGCCTCTGCCAACTTGGCTAGCAACTTGATGCCACTCTCTGTCGCCTCCCTCGCTGCTGCTGGGGCGGGGTTGCTACAAAGAGAAATTATGTCGCAGAAATTTCGTCGGTGCAGGAATGCGGACAACGACGACGACGACGACGACGACGACGACGACGACGACCATGACAGCGACTACGACCAATGCGAAATTTAATTGTTTCATTCCTTCATTTTCTTTAGTGCTTTTCTGAAAAATTGTCTTATTTCATTTTTTCGTGTTGCGATACTTGAATTATTTTTGTTTTCGTTTTCAGACGAGCCATCGACAGGATCGACCAGTCGGAGTTCGAGGGATTCGAGTACGTGAATCCGCTGCTAATGTCCTTGGAGGACTGCGTGTGACATGAAACGACGACGACCATAACGACAACGACGACGACCACGTACGCAGCGGATGATGACCCGTCATCGCCCGTGTCGCCGGCGACCACCGTGATATCAGCGAAACCGGTAGCGGCGTCGGCCGCGGTCGCCGGCATGCCGGGCCCCGTGTCGAACGTCACGACGACCACGACCACGGGCCCGGGCGGCAAGCAGCTCAGCCACACGAGCCTCTACCAGCCCTTCCCCTACCATCCGAGCTTTTACGCGCTGCACCGACAGCAGCACGAGGCGCACCACCTGCAGATGCATCTGCGCCAGCTGCAGGAGCGCCTGGCCATGCTCAACTTCGAGCCGCCGCTCTTCTATCTGTCGCGCAGCGACTACGACAATTACAACGATTACGCGCTGCCGCCGCCACCGGTCGCCTTCCGATTCACCGACAGCCCGGGCGGCGATTACGCGTCCTCGTCGCAGAAGTCGCTGAGCTTCACCGACCCCAGCTACGACTCGATGAACTCGAGCAATCCCGAGAATAACAACAACAACGAGAGCGGCTCGCTCATCAGCAGCATGTTCGACGAGAACGATTACGACGACGTGGTCGAGGAGGACAGCCCCAAGAAGGGTCTCAAGCAGCTGTTCTGCTTGCCGTTGCACTGAGCTGCGGCCCGAGCTGCGCTCGTTACCTGTACGCGCGGCGGCACTATTACTTACGCGATCGGGGCTTAGTGTATTGTACGTGTGTTACTACTCTGCAGGTGTGTGTATCTGTGTATTTGGTGCGTGGGTGCGCGCGTGACAGAGATTTTTTTATTTATTACTTTGTGCGAGCGATGGGTGAAAGTTTGAGTTTCGTTGTTAGAAGATACGATATTTATTAATTAAAGCTGTGAAAGAAAATCGATGAAAATTGAAAAAAAAAATGTAGACCTACTGAGACGATGTTGAATAAAGTATTAAAATACTTTAAAACGGTGTAAATGATGCTCAAAAAGTATGATAAAGATGTGTACAAATTATTTTGTAACATCTGTGCCTGACGAAAGGATAATGGCTTGATCAATGGTAACGAATGCCATAGAAAGTGGATTATCAATTTATTAACTCTATAGAGCGGAGTAAAAATTGAGAAAACCGATGATGTGCTCGAATTGTTACGTTGACAAGTAACAGAGATTTTTATGTAGAAATAAATGTGGCATCGATTCGATAAAAATAATTGATCATAATTAATGTTTTAAAATTATGTATGTTTTCATTGTGCAAATTGTACACGTGAAAAATCGACGGTATTTGTAATTATTTACTGAATTGTATACACAATCTAATTTTTTACATAAAGAGACTTTGAATTACGGCTGAATGTAAAATATTTTAAGCTGCTACGAGCTATCAGATAGTGCGCAGTTTTTTTCTAATTCTTCAATAAATTTTTAATTTTGTAAATAAACGAAAGGAAAATATGGCTGACTTTCGAGAACTCCAAGCGCTTTAGTATTTTAAATTTAGGCGTTAGGAAGAAACTTTTAGGATTATGATCTTTTATATTCTCACGAATATAGAACAATTTTGTAAAATCATATTTAATTCGAGATTAAATTACTTTATTACTAAAACAATCATTCCAAGTTTTAATTTATGTACTTAATGTACGGTACTTTAAACTTTAATATGGTTCAAAACCTTTTTTAAGCGATAAATCCAAATTTTTTTTGCGTTCCTAATTGATACAGTCAAGTTTAAGAAACATAATTGCTTGCGATAAATATCGATTTGATGCGCTCAGTGAAATACCCGTGCTTTTGAATTTGTCAAATTTATTGAATTGAAAAAAACAGATTTCATACAATACTAAACGTATTTTAAAAATGTACTCGTGCTTGGGCATCTTAAAGTTAACGTTACATTTTGATATTTAGTATGCAATAAATGTTATCTTGCAGGTATTATTCCAATTAGAGAATTTAATGAATTTGTAATAGTTTAATAAAACTCCGAGAGCATTTATAAGATGGTATCGCAATATTATATTTATGTACACATGTGTACATTTAAATATGTGTCATTTCACGTCGACATTCTTGGCGTAGCTTCTGCACGACATTATCAAGCGAAATTGCCAAATTTTTACCTTGCAGGAAAAGTACCTGTTTACACCTTGAAAATAACAAAGCAATTGTTTCGATGTATATTTTCCTTGGTCTTCCGCTGGTATGGTTCTATTCTATAAAATTTTCTAATGCGAAAATATCGAATTAAGAATTAAAAACTTAATTATATGAAATACTTCATTATTAAGTTTCTCTAATTAGTTTAGAGGAAAAAATGTCCTATTGGAATAACTATTTTCCAAAGACATGTTTTTCTATTTTTTGCATCAAAATGGAAAATGTGAAACTAGACTACATCATCGGAAAGTTTAAGGAAAAATATAAGCAGTGTTATTTCCCGAGTTACTTTTTCGGCGAGTTACAAATTAAGCATTTTCGCCGGTCATTTCAGGAGTTTTGTCGTGAATTGCCACCTATGTTTATGTACAATATAAATAAATAAGTATACAAATATTTATTATTATACGTTACAATTTCAATCGAACAAAAATTAGTCATTCACTTGCATAGAAATAAATACCAACAATATTAAGTGGTTGGTGCTTTTTAAGACGAACTAAACATAAAAGTACGAACACGCCTGTACATAGAAAAAACAATAAAAGTAACAAGAAGAGAATAATAAATAAGAGCATGCTAACGAGAAAGAGAAAGCACGAGTCTGTGTAGCTATATTGTAACATACAATAATAAGAAGTAATGAAATAAAAAAAAGAAGATTAAGTAATAATAATGATAAATTATGTTATTGCGATATAATGATATTATATTAATAAAATCAATAATTTAAGGAATAAAAGTTTCAATTTATAAAGCCATGGTGCTTGCAATATAATGAAGTTTATATGGTAAAAAATATATTACGAAAAAAAGCATATTAATGAGAAACAGCTTCAGTGTTAGCCAAAAAAAATTGAACAAGAAATTTTTGGCAAAAAAAAAACAAAGTTTTATAAAAGGTTGCACTCGAAAGGTTGCACAATAAATCACGGTCATTACTAAAACTCATCTGAATGGGTTTTTCATGCACCAAGTTGGTGTAGAAATTTTTGTCGATCGTGTTTACTGTTTCATAATCAGTTTTCCAGTATAGACAGAATCGTCCACAACAGAAGGAATTTATGATAAATTTCTTTGTTTTTTTTACCATGAAAAGGTTATTATAGCGTAACGGGATTGATAGCGGTGAGTTGAAGTATTGAAATTTAACGAAAAACTAACTCAAACTATGTTAAAGAATATTTGCATTAATATAATGTGTAATTGTTGTATCAAAATGATATCTGTGAAAACACAAACTGCTGTTACGTATGGTAAATTATAAAACTGATATTTATAGGTCTCATTTTGAGCATCGATGTTAATCGTAACTTCCATTGACATGTGTTATAACACAAAATTGATTTACTACATACTGAGTGGCCAAGTTAATAGTATTTTTATAAAATCTAACTTGCGTTTTGATTGAAATTAAGTGAAACATTTTTTAAACAACGTGTAATCGTTCGTCTTTAGAGATGAGAGATTTTATCATTATATTGAAAATTATACTTTATTAAACATTTATTAGCAAAAGATAATCATGATAAAGTAACGTTAATGTGAGCGGGGTTCTTTGTCCTTCAAACTGTTGAAAATAAATGAGAATATTGCTAACAGATATTCCACTTTTATGTAATCTGTACATATGAAAACGATTTATAAGAAAAGAATGGAGATGATAAAAATCCAATTGATCGTTCTAACCATCAGTGTGCAGCGTTATAATATGTTATTGATCGAATCTTTGTTATAGATCATATTTTATACTTTATTGTGCAAGCAGAAAAGAAAGAGAAATGCGTGAAAAAAAAGAGAAATCGCTGGAAAGATTTATTACGAAAGTTGCTAATTATAAAACAAAGCTCGAAAAATTTATAAACGCACTTATATTATATAGATCAAAATATCTTCTATGTTTATCTGTATATACGTATATATTATATATTATAATATTGTAATACCGAGAGGTGTTGGAAAAGCAGAAATTCTTAGAAAACTTTTTGCGCATTTGCCAACCTGCAATTCTAAAAGAAAAAAAAAGAAGTTTGCAAGAGGGCCTGTCTAGCATTGGGAACCAAGGCCAATTTTAATATATTTAGACTAAATAACACATACGATCAAGTATGATTAAAGCGTGTTTTGGCCTTTTAAGGACGAGTTTTTTCATCAGACAGATTGACTAAATTCAAGTCAATAATAGCAATCTTGAAAATGCATAACTTTCTATGGACAGCATATAAGTAGTGTCTTCCACGAGCGATGACATTTTTGTCAGACTTTCCTAGGGTGTAAGTTTTCATTCGGAGGTAATTGATCCCGATAATTTGCACTAACGCTACGTAGCTACTCGTAAAATATTCTATATACCTAGAAATATGTTCTATTTATAATTTCATGAAAACGAGAAAGAGAATATAATCCATAAAACTTCTTCAACTGTGATGCAACGGCAGATATCTGATATATGTTATTCGCGAAAGACCGTTCAGTTTTTAAACACGTATAATAGGCTGAGAAAAAACTCGCCCTCAAAGATCATCTCTCGTTCATAGTGCTCTCGAGCGTAAAAAAACAAACCAATACCTATTACAATTAACTAATACCTCTGATAAAAATGATATATTAAGTTATGCACTCAACCGCCTGTTACATTACTATAATACCAATTACCGTTTACTTGTCACATTCGATACATTATTGTTTACATTAAAATACACACGAATCCACTTTACAATTGAAGTAATTGTCTGAAAGTTCATCGCAAGCATTGCTATTGCAGTGCCAATTGGCGTTGTAACGAAGGCGTATTAAATTCAAGTATTTACCCAAAAAATAATAACGTTCATTTTCGTCATTATAATTTGTCAACCCTAACCTTGATTATTTTGTATATTATAAATTCTCACTGAATTAGCAATTAATTTTCTGAAAAATACATTTTAGCATAAAAACTTCAAAAATACGTTTTTATTCATTTACCCGCCCTTTTCAGAATGCATATTTTTTCAAATTTGAAGCGCCTTCTCAGTGAACGTGGAGGGGGACGAAGCTGACTTGCGCAATGTCACATTACGTTTTTTCTCGACATAAGTAACTCCGAGGCCGGCAATGCTACATGCTGCAGTAGTAGCGAGTTGTAACAAGAGAAACACGTACTGCTGCGTTCGATTAGGTTTCAGAGATAAATTGTTTCCTTTGACACTGTTATTATAAATATTTATGCCAATGCTATTGCCCAATTAAAGAAGGTCAACTTTGAATTATTCTTTTACTAGCGCAGTAGGTGAAAAACTTGTATTCTAAATCATGGCACCAAAACGTACAAAAAAAGAATCTGGTAAATAGCCTCTTTCACAACTTGTTGATATTATGTTTTTCAAATAAAAATGACAAACCTCATGATGGCATCGTGAATTTTCCCTTTTCTTTATTCATAAAACTCATTTCAGATCGTAATAAATCAAAAAAGAGAAAAGATGATCTGAATTATGACCTCGATTTGGATGAAGATGATTTAAATGAAAATGAAGGTATTCCGGATGCAGCCAAAACAGATGTAGAAAAGCAAGACGATGGCACAGTCGAAGACCAGTATGGAGCCAAAGATTATCGTAAACAAATGATATTAAAGCCTGATAATAGTTCTAGGCCTCTCTGGGTTGTAAGTGGTCTATTTTAATTTTAATATTACCCTGCTATTGTGACAAGGATTTATTATAACTTTTAGGCTCCAAATGGTCATATTTTCTTAGAGTCTTTTTCACCAGTTTATAAACATGCTCATGACTTCCTTATCGCTATTGCTGAACCAGTTTGTAGGCCAGAACACATACACGAGGTTAATAATCTAAGCATAAATAAATTTTTGAGTAAAAAAATCCTTCAATAATATTTGTAATAAAATTTTTGCAATAGTACAAACTGACAGCTTATTCTTTGTATGCTGCTGTAAGTGTGGGACTTCAAACTAATGATATAATTGAATATCTAAAAAGACTGAGTAAAACGACGATACCTGATGGTATTGTTGAATTTATCAAGTTATGTACTTTATCATATGGAAAAGTAAGTTTTTGTTTTAAATTCAAATAATGTATACAAATGAGTATCATTATTAATGTTATCTGTTTTATAGGTAAAACTTGTCTTGAAACATAATAAGTATTTTATTGAATCTCCGTTCCCTGAAGTTTTGCAAAAATTGTTGAAAGACCCTGTTATTCAAGAATGTAGATTAAGAAAGAAAGTTTCAGATGAATCAAACGACAAAGATGGTTTCATTACAGATACTCTAATGAAAACTAATGTTCCTCAAGTGAGTAACAAAATTTTGCAATATATCTCAATTTAATATATTTTAACTCAATTAAAATATCAAATTACTATAGTTTGGAGCAAAAATTGCTATAAATGCTCCACAACCAACAGTAGCATCAACTGATGATGCAGCTAACAATCAAACAAATGCTGAAACAGATGTTCCAGTTCCTGAAGATATCACTACATTTTATAAAAAAATGGATAAAGAAGATGAAGATGAAGAAGAAGTAGAAATGAAAACTGTAAGTTTTGAAGTTTATCAAGATAAAATTGAAGTAATTCAGAAAAGGTGTATTGAATTAGAACACCCACTTCTGGCTGAGTATGATTTCCGTAATGATACAGTAAATCCAGACATAAAGTAAGTATAAAATCCAGAAATGAGATTGATATTTTTCACCCTAAATATATTGATTGTTCCTACTCCTTTTAGTATTGATTTAAAACCATCAACAGTATTAAGACCTTATCAAGAAAAAAGTTTAAGAAAGATGTTTGGAAATGGTAGAGCTCGCTCTGGCGTTATTGTCTTACCTTGTGGTAAGTAAAATATAATTTTTTCTAAGGACCCCAACTGAAAGTAACAATCTTGACTCTCTAAAACAAAAATTTCCATGGGGACCTAAAAAAAAGTTATAACACATCACATGAGGTGTAAAAGCATGTCTCGTATCATGTGTTATCAACTGATATATTTTTCTTTGTGCTTCACTTGTCCCGGAATTAAATATCCAATAAATTTCAGGAATTTAAAAATATATACAAATGTTTTTCCATTTTAGGTGCCGGTAAAAGTTTAGTTGGTGTAACAGCATGTTGTACAGTAAGAAAGCGTGCCTTAGTATTATGTAATTCTGGTGTATCTGTAGAGCAGTGGAAGCAACAGTTCAAAATGTGGTCCACTGCTGATGACTCTATGATTTGTAGATTTACAAGTGATGCCAAAGATAAACCAATGGGTTGTGGAATAATGATAACCACATATTCCATGATAACGCATCAACAAAAAAGATCCTGGGAAGCTGAGCAAACAATGAAATCGTTGCAAGAACAAGAATGGGGTATTATGGTTTTAGATGGTGGGTAATTCATAAAATTTTTGGCTTTTGAATTTTTTTTCGTGGAATTATAAATTAATATTTGTTTAAACTTTTTAGAGGTACATACTATCCCTGCTAAAATGTTCAGAAGAGTATTAACGCTTGTTCAATCACACTGTAAGTTGGGTTTGACAGCTACTTTATTGAGAGAGGACGATAAGATTGCTGACTTGAACTTCTTGATTGGACCAAAACTTTACGAAGCTAATTGGTTGGAACTACAAAAACAAGGCCACATTGCTAGAGTGCAATGTGCCGAAGTTTGGTGTCCAATGACTCCAGAATTTTATAGAGAATACTTAACTAGTAAAATGTCAAAGAGACTTGTAAGTTCTATGGTTAATTATTCCCTGCACTAATCAAGAGCTTTCTCAATATAAGTGTTTAAAATAATCTGTTTTTTGCAGCTATTGTACGTGATGAATCCTAATAAATTCCGAGCATGCCAATATCTTATACGCTATCACGAAAGACGTGGAGATAAAACTATAGTTTTCTCGGATAATGTTTTTGCATTAAAACACTATGCCATTGCAATGAACAAACCTTACATTTATGGACCTACTAGTCAAGTAAGTTATACTCAACTTGTTGACGGGGTCTTCAAAAACTATATATGCTGGGCAATGAAAAAAAACACGCGATCAAATGATTCTAGATATGGAATTTCGTTGGGGAATTTTTCAATGGGTTTTTCAAGATTTTATTTTTATTCATTTCATTGAGTAATTTTTTTCGTTGCATTTCGTGAATGTTTATTTTTCGTTGCATTTGATAAGGGCGTAGTTTTTGTAGCCTCCATCGATATATTTATCAAAAACAATTTATTTATGAACTTTACTCAAACTTTCGTGTTTTTTTTCAGAGCGAGAGAATCCAAATTTTGCAGAATTTTAAATTCAATATGAAGGTCAATACCATATTCGTGAGTAAAGTCGCTGATACATCGTTCGATTTGCCCGAAGCCAATGTATTGATTCAGATTTCATCTCATGGCGGTTCTCGACGTCAAGAGGCACAGCGATTGGGTCGTATCCTTCGAGCTAAAAAAGGTGAGTTCATCGGCCTCGGTGGGTCGTGACTCAGCTCCAATCGATATATTTATATCCTCTATAAATTGGCAAATAAATTTTGCAGGAGCCATCGCCGAAGAGTATAATGCATTCTTTTATACACTCGTGTCGCAGGATACAACAGAAATGGTTTATTCGAGAAAAAGGCAGCGTTTCCTTGTCGATCAAGGTTACGCGTACAAAGTCATCACAAAATTAGCCGGCATGGCCGAGGTAAGTTCATTCACGCTCTTTTCGTTGCAAATAGTTCAACCAAAAATAATAACCCATAAAAATCGTTTCTTCTCGTCAACAGGAGCCAGATATGATGTACAAGTCGCGCGAGGAGCAAGGAACGCTTCTGCAAAAGGTTCTCTCGGCCAGTGACGCAGATGCCGACGAAGAAAGAGTTGTTGGCGAAGGACCTGCAGGACGAGGAGGGGTGAGTAGCGAAAACATTACGTCAATCAATTTAATACGATCTTAAAAGTCAATCTTGACTCTTTCGTCCAAGCTATAGATCGCTCAATCACTTTCGCCGCTCGTATACATGAATGTTTGACAAAACACCGGACTTTTGTTTATAAATCATTCGACGTGCTGATTAAACACGCTTCATTAATAAGTGCAGCCGAGTGCGCCTTTGTAAGACATTACAAGCCGACGCCGGTTCTCGTATTACCGCGGCGTTTATTTATCGCACGCGCACATTTACACGCACACCCATACAAATATACTTGCGCCACGCTGTTCATAAGGCTTCGGATTTGCGGAACGAAATGTCGCGCAGTTCCGTATTAAATACTTAGCTCGTACGCCGCACCGATATTCGAAATCGCTTACTCAGCTTGAGTTTCGACCCAAGTGTTTTATATCTGCCCTTTCTCGTTCTCGCACCTGATAAGCATGCTATTTTTTTTACAAACATTTTCTGTTTGTTTTTGCAGATGGTACGAAAGGCTGGAAACATGGCATCGCTATCGGGAGCCGACGACGCCGTCTACTACGAGTACAAAAGACCAGGAGCTTCATCCAGCATGGGCTGCAAGCATCCTCTTTTCAAAAAATTCCGAGCCTAGACTTGTCATTTGTATGTGAATCATCGTTTTTTTTTGTTTATTCGTTCATTATTATTATAGATAGCCCTTATGTCGCATTTTAAGGTGACGCCTTAACGACTTTTTTTTCATGAAACAATTAAGAAAATGAAAATGAAAAGAGTCCAAAAATAACGAGATGTGTATGTTACAAGATGTAAATAAAATTCAACGACTCGCTAAACAAAATTAAAATTCAGCGCAGTACAAGTTATTACTTCTTTACCTCACCTACTAGTGCATCAGATCGCTTTGACATTTGAGCGGCGCGCCTACAGTTTCACCATGCTTGGTAAGTTACATTGCATCGCTTTCCTACATATATTCCGGAATTCTCAGAAGTTTAAATCGCGAATATCATCGCTTATACACGGGTCGATGCCCTTTAACCTTTAAAGGATTCGGGACATGCCATGTTGCGCAAGGTCATTGACCCCTAAATATTCGACATCAGTTTGGTCCAAATAAAATGTCATAAACCTCATAACTTTTCTATCGATGAAAGTATCTCTTTCAACATTTCCCAAATTACAGTCCTGTATATCAAACGACATTTAAAGGGACATTTATAAGTCTCTCGCGTCCATAAGCACAGGCATGTACAGGTGGCCGCGCACTGACAGCTGTCAAACGTCTCCCCGTCGATCGTGTTCCAATGTAAACACGAGCGCGCGTCTATGTATTCAAAGGTACGCAGTCACGCACGCACGTAAGAGCCGGAGCTTTTTCCACCTGATGTGCACCTGCTGTGCGAGGCATTCGCGGCGCGTTACATTATTATATTGACTCGTCATGAAACGGGGTAAGAAAGCTTATGCGTATCTGCGCTCGAACAGACTATGCTACCTCGATGATATGTACACACAGACAGCAGGAGCAGCAGCGCGGGCCGTTATGTATAGCACATACCTGTATGTATCATATCTGTATAGAGCCCGCAGCAGTGTCTGTCTGTCTGTCTATGCCCATGTCTGTGTCTGTATATGTCTGCCTGTGTATGTGCTGCATATATAAGCGCGAATGCGGCTTATCTTGGCATGAGCGGTGGAAAAGCATCTAACTCTTGGTGGGAAACGCGGAGCTCTACAGTCTGTCCGTTTATATACATACGTTAACGTACACACACTCTCGCAAAGTGTGTATGCGCGAGTCTGTGTGCATAAAATAGCTACGTATATAAATATACACACATAAAGCGTCAAGAGAAATCGACCGGTTGTCAAGTTCGCGTGTGTGCATTTTGTATACATATATAGAGGTATCCGCGACTGCGGCGTCTCGCGTATACATACTGGTACTGGTAGTAGTGGTGGTAGTTGGTGGTGGTGGCGGCGTCGACGGGAGGAAGGGGTGTACGTCCGTGTGTGTCAGGTACTATATAGTAAACGCGATAGAGAGAGACAGTCGGAGAGCCTCCTGCTGCTGCTGCTGCTGCCGGTGGCACAATAGTCCGCGCGCGCGTTAGTTGCAGTGCAGTTGCCGCAGAGCAACGTACCCTATACCGTATTATAACGTTAGACGAGTACCTATAGTTGTACATTAAAAATAATACATACGCGTATGTAGTACGTACGCACGTATAGTACACGCATTTGCATAAGTTAATATAGGGTGGTGGTGCGTCGTCGTCGTGCACTACACACTGCACGGTACAAAACAGTACAGTGCGAAGCCTGCCACTCGCAGTAAGGGCAGCATATGAAAAAAAAAACGTATACGTGTACTGATACTACGTGCGCTAATAGCAACGTATAGATGTGCGCCGAGTGCCGACGATCGAGACGCAAACCCCTTACTGCATTACCTTTAATTTAAATGAATACGTAAAAAAATTATAAAACAAAAAACGGAGCAACGCACCGTACAGCTCGATCACATCACCCAAGTGCAGTTCGTATACGTGTACATAATACATTATATAGTTTCGAGTGCGCGAGACTACGACGACGACGGGCTCTGTCTCAACTCTCTCACGTCTGCGGGGTTCTTTTTTCCCTTTACTTTTTTCGGAGTCCCCTGCCGTGGCAGTCGCGCCGCTACACAGCCGCCAATCGCCGCGCTGTGCGTTGCAACAGTAGCGGCAACAGCCACCGAGCAAGCACACGCTTCCCACGCTACTATATACCACCACTTGTGCTGTGCATGAGAGCGTTTTTTCGATTATAAATTCTAAAACGCAAGAGAACGTAGAGGACGACGACGACGACGACTATATTATAATCGGCTACTACCATAACGAGGCAAACGCCAAAAGGGACGTGAGGAACGTGAGCACAAGCACCGACTACCACGCCGCAACAGCGAGACCGAGTGTGCAGATTATGTGTGCGCGCGTTACATACATATAAGTGGTGTATCGCCGTCGCCGCCGTTGCACATTAGCCTGTGCAGCAGCAACAGTATAACACAGTGCATCGAGCTCTCGAGCGCAACTCTCGCTCTTACTTTGCGAGCTATACGTATAGTACTGCAGCAGCAGCGAAGAAGACACGAGAGACAGGCAGACGGAGCAGCAACAGCAGCAACAGCAGTAAAAAAATCGAGACTGCGTCAGACGGAAATTCGTCTCGCGGCTCCAGCTCTCCGTGTGTGCAGTGCTTGCGAAGCTCGAGCAAGTGTGCGTGCCTGCATATACGTATAAAAAGTTTGCGCGAGTTCGTGAGCGCGCGAGCGCCTTATCATCCGCCGCTCGACACACCATACCGTGGCCCGCAGTAATTGAAAAAGAGAAGGCCAAAGTGAATTTAAATAATAATATCAAAAGTGCATTTTTTATGAATTTTCAAGTTCACCGACAAGTGCCCCCGACAAGTGTTGCGCGTTACACCGAGTGAGTCAATCATCGTGTACACGCCTGCACTTTTTATTTGTACAGCTTGAGCGCGCGCAAGCTAAATCAAAAACAAAACTGCAAGATTAACAGGCAAGAGCTCGGCGACGATGAAGCTCGTCGCGCTCACGAGCTCATCATCGGTGTTGTCGGCTTCTAGCAGCAGCTACGGTAGCGCCAGCAGCAGCAAGAACAGCAGCAGTCGAAGAAAAAGTTTAGCGAGCCGCAGCGTCGAAGCATGATGAGCCTGTGCGAGCGTAAAACCCAGTGCCAGTGCGATAGTTGTAGTCATTTCATTACTAGTCGCGCAGACGACAGTAGCGGTCTAATAAGTATATTAAGCAGCAGTGGTGGTCGTGCCGCCGCTGATACTGTTATCGCCGAACCCACGAGTGCCGAGGACACAACAAGCAGCAACAGCCGCAGTCCCAGTCACAGAAGCATAAGCTACAGCAGTTGTAGCTGTAGCGAGTCGTCCGTCGCACGACAGACAGCGACAACGGCTCGAGGTGTCCTCGTCTTGGCTCGCAGCAGCAGCAGCGACGACGACGACGACGACGACGACGACGACGACGACTCCGAAAAAACACAGTGTCAGCACAGTATCCGTCTGAGCGGCGACGCGAGACGAGCGTGCTGTGGTAGAAAAAAACAGACAACAACAGAGACGACGACGGCGAGGTCGTTGTCATTCAGCAGCAGCAGCAGCAGTAGTAGTAATTGTCGTAGTAGCAGTTGGAATCGGTATCGTCCCTTGACACCTGCTGCTGCGACGGCGGCTCGATGATCAGGCCAAGGTACCGAGGAGAGCAGCTGCTGCCCTTGTCGCATCCATCGTCGTCGTCGACGTCGTCATCGTCTTCGAGGTCGTCGTCGTCGTCGTCGTCGTCGTTGCTGCTAATTATACTGATACGCCATTGCCGGCGACGTTGGGCCCGCAATACGAATCGCCATCGTTATCGTCGCAATCGTATCGATGAGAATCGTTACAAAAACAATAACAACTGTCATCGTTATCCCCGGTTGCCGGATACTACCTCTGCCCTACCGATACTACCACCACAACTCAGGCCGCTGATCTCATCGCCGTCATCGTACCGCGAGGCGGGCAATTACCTTATCAGTAGTAACAATAGCGCGCGACACTTTCCCGAGGCTCCTGATCGCGACTGCAGACGCGCTTCGGCCGCTCATCATTGCTCAAGCTCATCGTGCTGATAAAAGGACTCTCCGAGCGCCTCGATGACTCCGATACATACAACGCTACTCTCTACGCTACGCAACACCTAAATAAAATATATACATCTGGTATATAACGTAATACGTATATCTACGTTTCGATACAATTAACGCAATTAAATTGTACATTGGAAAATTTTACGCGAGCCCGTAACGACTACAGCTCTGTGTGTGTGCGTGTGTGTGCTCCTATGTAGAAAAAAAAATAGAACCAAGAGAATACGAGAATAGCGCGCGTGTGTCTCTGTGCGAGTAACATGTGAAACAAAAATTGTCTATAGTCATCGTCGTGCCCAGCGAGCAGCACAGAGAGTGCAAAGTGTCAAGTGCAAAGTGTCGTGCAGGTGTATAATAATAGTAAAAGATATATACACCAACGGTCGGAGTGTCTGTGTGAGTGTGCGGTCACTTCCGCGCAACGAGTGTGTATGTGTAAATAGTATACATATAGCAAAAATCCAATAGCCGAACAATATGCTGAGCGTGAGGGGCTCGGAGGCGGCGCTCTACACGCTCTACGGCTTCGCCGCGTTCTTCATGGTGTTCTGGGCCGGCATGTGGCTCGTCCACGTGATCGCCCTTGTGGCCGGTCGCTGGAAGCTCCATCGGCAAAAGTTCCTCAAGCTGCCGATCCGCGAGACGCCCCTGCCCGGTGTATCGATCATCAAGCCTTTGGTCGGCGTCGACTCCAATCTCTTTTCCAATCTCGAGACCTTCTTCCATCTGGACTATCCGCTGTACGAGCTGCTGTTCTGCGTCGAGGACCCCAAGGATCCGGTGCTCCAGCTCGTCACCAAGCTCATGGACAAGTATCCGGGCGTGGACGCGCAACTCTTCGTCGGTGGCAAGGGGGTCGGAGTCAATCCCAAGATCAACAACATGCAGCCGGCCTACGAGGCGGCGAAACACGAGCTCATCCTCATCAGCGACTCGGGCATCAGAATGAACGAGGACACTCTGCTCGACATGGTCAATTATATGGGCGAGCGCGTCGGCCTGGTGCACCAGATGCCGTTCACCTGCGACCGATCGGGCTTCGCCGCCTGCTACGAGAAGATCTTCTTCGGCACGGTGCAGTCGCGCATGTATCTCGCCGCGGATCTGCTGCGCATCAATTGTCACACGGGCATGTCGGCCTTGATCAAGAAGGCCCTGCTCGACGAGGTGGGCGGCCTCAAGACCTTCGGCGTCTATCTGGCCGAGGACTTCTTCTACGCCAAATCCCTCACGGATCGAGGCTGGAAGATCACGGTGAGCTCGCAGCCCGCCATGCAGAACAGCGGACACTGCGAGATGCAGAGCTTCCAGGCCAGGCTGCGGCGCTGGGCCAAGCTGAGGGTCGCCATGCTGCCCAGCATCATCGTGTTCGAGCCGCTCAGCGAGTGCCTGGTGCTGGGCGCCTGCGCCTCCTGGGCCGCGGCCCTGCTCTTCGACTGGGACTCGTTGCTGTTCTACGTGGTGCACGTGTTTCTGTGGTTCGTGTTCGATTGGACGTTGCTGTGTCTGGTGCAGAACGGGCCGCTGCCTTTCAACGCCCTGGAGTTCCTCATCGGCTGGATACTGTGCGAGGCCACGCGGCCCTATCTCTTCGTCCAGGCGGTACTGGATCCGCTCATACAGTGGCGATCGAGGGTCTACAGGCTCAAGTGGGGCGGCTTGGCCGAGGAAGTCAAGGCCAAAGTCAAGTATTGAGAACAGCTTTGCAGCATCAATGACAACGACAACGACAACGATCAACGACGACGATGAAGACGACGACAATTACGACGACAAAGCATCAACGCAGCTCTTCGTGTGATATTGCGCGCAACGCAACTAACGGACAAAAAGCAGCCGCTTATAATACTAATTATATTCTGTAAGATATATGTACACGTATATTCTTCGTATTGTATATCTCTAATTATCTACTTCTGTAAGTCTTGCGCGCGCAGTGACCAATTAGTTTTTCTCTCTTTATAAATATTATCTGTGTTGTTGCTCATTTGTGCTCTCGTAGCATTAGTAGCAGTGCTGCTGAAGTGCAGGTGCAGCAGTGTGCTGTTGTTGTCGTTATTGTTGTTGTTGTTGTTGTTGTTGTTACTACACTGTTGTTGGTGCTGGTGATGTTCAATGTTCAATGCCCCGCGAGAGTTAACTTTGTGAAAGAACAAAAAAAACTACAACGACGAGAGAAACATGAATACTTGTGAAAAAAATGAAGAGAGAACAAAGAAAGAAGAAGAAGAAGAAAAGAACAAACGATTACGTCGATTTAATCATAAATAGTTGAATTAGCAAATACATAAAATATTTATGTACAATTCAGAAGTTCGTTCGATACCTATCATAGATTATAATAGAGCGCGTGTGTATGTGCTCCATAACTATACGGTGCGCGGCGAGTTTTGTTGTTATTATTATTATTTTTTTCGCTCGTCGATTTCGACGACACGATCGCAGCACGATATTGTGTGCCGCGTGCGAGCATGTGTACATATTATACATATATAGAGGGTCTGCGTCCTTTGAACACGTGGGTGTGTGTGTATGTGTGCATGTGAAGCGACTGTGTGTATGTAAACAAGAACATGTTACAGTATGTATATCTGCCAACGATATACATGCTCTATAAATGACGCGAATAACACCGACTTAGCGATTATTGCAACGACGTTTACGCGCCAATTGGATCGTGCATGAAAGCCAAAGATATAGAAAGAGGGAGAGATAGAGGAAGTAACAACAAAAAAGAGAGAAAAGCTCGAAAAAAGGGTAGTTGCCAAACACTCGCGCACGGATTAACGGATAATTCAAAGCTAAGAGTATCGCACACGCGAAAAGTCTAGTTGCAGCTCTCGAGTCACTCTGTTATACACTCACAACAAGCTCTCATTTCATTTATTTAAGTTTATATATTACGTTACTGCCATCGATGCTGCTAATGCAGCACTGCTCTCTCGAGCTGGAGCATATTATACGCGCGTCGAGAGTCTCGCGAGCAATTATTATTTCGTCGCGTATTATACACCGCGAGAGCAGCGTCGTCGTCGAGCAGCCCCCGCGATCGATATTTTTCCGCGCGACTCGCGCGTCCTTTTCGCGTTCGACGTGACATATACAATGCGCTTGCAGCATATTACACACTACAGCCAAGTAGCGACGAAAAAAAAAAGGGAATTCAGGGTGTGCTTGTCTACTTGTGCAATAATAAATGTTTTTTACGTTCGACTTTCGTACTGGAGCTACGTACTGGAATATTACGATAAATTTAATACACGCGCGTCGAGATCTTTTATCCTTCTTTTTTTCCATATCTATCTCTCTCTCTCTCTTTTCTTTCGATTTCTATCGAGATGACGATCGATTTCTATTGCGGTTTATAAATTGGATCACGGTATTTCGTTTCGAAAGCTACTATATTTATTATATTTATTACGATATTTGATGAAGATTAGTAGAGCGTATTATATATACTATTATTATTGACTCATGACACTGGCTGAGTGTGTGTGTGTGCTTAAGTGCGTACGTAAGCAGCTCTTCGCCCTTTTACTTTCACGCGCAAACAGAGATGCGCTCGTACATATTTATAAATAAATTAAATACCTGTATAATTTTCACACGCGTATTCTCGCGCACAGACACATTCACGCGCCCGCTAACTCGCGTATAAATAAGCAGCGTCTTGAAAAGATTATTTTTCTAAACTTTTGAGTTTTGTTCGTGCATGTAACAAACAAACAAAAATGTAAATAATAAAAAATAAAAAAGGGATGAAACATTGATGCGTACGTATTTAGTTCTCACACATATCCACACACGAATGCGTGCTCACCTTACATAACGAGTGATCGATAAATGTGGTGAAAATGCAATATAGCCTGCATGATTCATGATCGCGTCTTATATACACGCTCGCCAAGAGAAAACACGTTGGATTATTACTATTATTATTATCATTATCATTATAATTTTTTTTACGCTCCATCGATTACAAAGCGCAACCCGAATATATTTTTTTTAATTTCGGAATGGCCTTGGTCATTTAACCGGGTACAATTCCAACATATATTAATTAGATAAACTCGCGCGACATTCCTTGAATGGCCTATACAGCGTCGTGTGCTCTCTCTCTCTCTCTCTCTCTCTCTCTCTCCTATCTGTGATGTAACATCGTTATTTCGTGCGTAGATGAAGTTTCATAATTTGTATCTTTATTTCAAATCAACTATACGTATGCCTGCGTAGTGCGTATACACACGAGCGGATGTACGCGGTTATACAATAGTCGAGAGTGGACTGGGAATAGGATATATATACGCAGTAGGATGAAAAATAAACCGAGGCGCGGGTCGAAGCCCTCGAAACGAAATCTGCAACGACACAACGACTATGACGACGATTATTTGCACACAATCTCTATGTTTGAATGTGTGTCTGTGTGTGCGAGTACCGTTGTAAGCTGCAGCACTGCACTCTCACAGGTCGAACCGTGACGGGGGCGCGAGACTTGCGCGATACACTTTTTTTCATTAAATATATCAGTGTAAAGACAAAAAAAGAAGAGAAGCAAAAAATATTGTCACGCTTTTATGACATACAGCCTTGTCCGACATTAAGGTTAAAAGTGAATCGTTAAAAAAGTATAGGCGATTTCGTCGATTCGTCGAGCAGCGGTTTAGCTTGCGAGCTCGCTCATGCACAAACAGCAGCTATTGCTTCGAGTTCAACTTTTTTTCCACTGCGCCAGTGCGGTATATAAATATTATATTTAATCTATAAGTACGGAGTTCTCCGTCGGCGGGCGATCGGTCGTCGTCGTCGCGTCGTTTTGTTCGCGCGCGACACTTTGTCGTCATTTGACTACGTAAATTCTCCTTTTTTCCTCGTTTCCTCTAATTTTTTTTTTGCATACTTCTTAACGAGCGATAATGGATCAATCGACGCATGTCGTATATACGTTTTATCGCGCTTAAAAACCTTCGGATATATATTATATATATTTTTGTTCGTAGATACAGCATTTATACAGTATATATAGCCCTCGGTACGACTTAGCCTTATAACGACTCGATTCGACATCCTTTTTATCGGGTTCTTCGCTATACGAGCGAGACTCGCCGAGAGCGTTATATTTACCGCGATAACGCGTATATAACACGACGATTTTTCAGCATCGTCTATGTGCAGTGTGCACATACGTAAATACACACACGCGGCGCGAACATGTGAAAATTAATACCTGAAATCTCGCACGAGCGGCGCAAAAAAAAAAAATAACTGAACCGAACGCACACGTGCTTACGTAAGATCTTGGCCAACTCGCGCTAAGACGTATATAAAATAACGTTTACATGTTGCGGTATGGTAGTTGCAGGTATATACACTGGATATATAGGTGTATGTAATATCTCGTGTGCTTTTCGATCACGCGGCCGGATGAGTGCGATTAGTACATATTTATTATGTTAAAAGAAGAACATTACGGACACCAGATAATATAATAACGCGAGGCCTGGAGAACAAAGAGCCATTTGATTATGTTTTTGTTATGTATGTGAGAGAGAACTACTGTATATAACACAAAACACAACAAAAAACAAAAGAGAGAGAACAAACTTAGTTTCTGCGGTAGGCAATTTTTCGACCATTAAATTTGCCTCAATTATTTTCAGCGCGATCGTCGAACTTGACAGGCTGTGTACAGGAATAAAATGAAGTACGATGATTTTGCGTCAAATAAAATTCAACATTTATGCACACACACGCACAGACATATTCGATGTAATGAAAAGTGCAAGCCCACATACGGCCAAAAAAGTACGCGAACGAGCGAGGACGCACGACGACGCATCGTGCGTAATTTTTGCTGCACAAGCGCGAGGACAGGCACGCGCGCGAGCGATGTTAACAATCGATAATGCGATACGTATTTGTTACTATCTGGCCTTATCTGTGCGCGGAATATTTTTTTTAGTTTTATCCATTAATTCGACGATCGTTTTGCGGTAGAGGCTCTACATTTATTTTTGGCGATTCTTTATTTAATCATTGACGCAAGTGTTGTTGCTCGATCCAGAAAGTGTGCATGTGGGATGCCTCTGTGTACGTATGAATGATCACGTGCGCATAGTTCGAATTACTCGTCGTAATTGAAGGATAATTTCCTTTTTTTATTTGAAAATGAATTTAAATATTCCGAAATGCGATAAATAAACGACTTTTTGCTATTAAGAACGCAACATTGCCTTTTTCATGAAAGAACGAAACTTGTACATATAATAATAGTACCAATTTCTATCGCTTAAGCCTTTAAAAGTAAGAAACTTACGAATTTTATACTACTATAAAAATCATCTGCTGTAAATTACAGAAACTTAAATAAGAGAGATTTATAAACTTGCTTCTACGTTTGATGACCACATTTTTTTCTTTTAAAAAGAATTTTTATCGATAAGTGTTGTCATTACAGATGAACGCATAATCATGTGACGAAACAAAATTTTTATGTTTAAGGAGGTACCGTAACGTTACTAGTACAAGAAAAACAAGATCATTAGGAAAATATTTAACAAGTGCAGTTGACGGTACCTTCTGTACGAATGAAGCATCAAAAATCCATTAATCGTTTAAATCCAATCATTAGTCATCTAAGCTGAACATTTTTAATCAGAATAGTAGTGCAATTAAAAAAAAAAAAAAAGAATCACACCAAACCGACGTGATAGACCAAAAAAGAATTTAAAAAAATAAGTATTTAATCGCTTGTGTATTAACAGACGATAAGATAAGGATATTTCATTATTTATTAAAAACTCTGGTTGTGCATTATTTAGAATATAATGGTGCACAATTTCTGTCGAATGAAAAGTAAGAAAAAAAATATTTTAGTACAAAATCATGTAATTATACAAAAATTATGTATACTCCAAAAAAGGTGTGCCGTGCGACTACCAGAAGAATGATAAATCAAGTGTTCAGGACGAATTTTTTCACCAAGTCTCTCTAATGTATAACCATGATCTTATGATAAAAAATTATCATCTTTTTGAAAACGATATCTTCAATTGAAAATTATATTACAATAGCATAGTCACAAATGATTAAAGCCCATTGAGTATTCGTGGAAATGATGTAAAAAAATCTAGGCATTTAGCGAACTTTGTACATAATTATTGCATATTTATTACGTATCCGCGTGAAGTATCTTACAAAGGAAATCCAAAAACGAGCAAAACGACACGCAAAAAACAATACGTTCAATTGTTCATTTACAATTGCATGTGCAAATTGTTCCTTCTTTTTTTCATTATTTTGCTTTTGTTCTCAAATCTAAGATATACCGACAACTTGTTCTTATATTTTACCTGCGTTCTCGTGTGTTGAAAGTTTGCGCCTATACATATACTCGAGTTTCGATTTTCTTGGCTAGGTAGACACAAATAAAAAAGTCACTAAAGTAACGAGCAATTAGTTCCAAGAAGTTGATAAAAAAGAGAACGCGGTGACATCGTCTCGTATTTTCTCGATTTTTTTCATAAAAGTTGACGAGTGTATATAAAAAATCACGCAAATATCCAAGACAGAGACACACATAGTTGAGTTACCTGTACGCGATTGTAACGAAATACGTATGCATATAGCAGTAGTATGCGTGATAGTAGATGCATGAATGTAAACATACGTTGGAGCATGAATGGGCTAAATGTATTTTTTTATAAAAAGAAAAAAAAATGAAAATAAAAATGAAGAGCAGAAAGTAAAATGTGAACGTACAAGTGTGTATTGTGCAAATGTGTTTACTGCAGTGCTTCGCTGTGACGTGTCTCAAAACGAGTACACACGCAAGCATCCGTGATTTTTTTACTACGAAAACTCGAAAAATGATTTACTATGGAAAAAATTGTAGGCTTAAATGATTGATAAAATGCATAATAAATACGTAATGCGCATTCATTATATTATTATAACAATATCGTCTCCTTTTCTCTGAGCTTTTTTGACATTGTATCGTACTGTGTAATACTAATTATAATATTTGTGTAGTCCGTTTGGCGGCGTTTAGCTCATTATGATAGATGTATAATTTTTTTACGCATAATTACGAAAAAAGTAAATATTATTAAAATTAATAAACGATAATATTTGTAAAGGCAGTAATATTAGTAATGATTTAATAACTTATATAGTGAAATGAAGGCAAAAATATACGTACGAATTAAGCAAAATCAATAACGACTCCATTGTTTTTCTTTTCTCTTCAACGAGCGATGCGCACACACACACACCCGCGTTTATGCATATCAATAATGTCTTCGTGTTTATCGAGAGAACAAAATCAAGTCAATATGTGAAGTGTACAAATACGAAATCAGAGCGAAATGATTACAGAGGTGTGTGTGTGCGCGCAAGTGTGCAATATGAGCAATGTGTGACTGCGAAGAAACAATGCCGTATTTTTTTTATATATTATTTGTAGGAAAAAATGTTTTTCTATATAATTTATTCATAAATATGAATGAGCCAAAAGTTACAAGATTAAAATTGAATTTTCTGGCATAAGACGAAAACAAGCAGTGAATTCTCATTTATTTTCTCTCACTCATCACTGATCCCGATCCTCCGATGTTGAGCACGTAACTGCAGATAGAGAAAGCGAAAACGTGAGCGGCGATCTGAACGTTGAAGAGCGTGAAATTATCCATTCCTCGCGGCATTATAAATAGGGTGAAAAAAAAGGGAACGACGAGGGTGACAATGATGCAAATCGCTCCTGCGGCGCACCACTGCGTCGTTTCGCTGTATGGCGCTCGTCTCTTTGCAGCAAATCGTAGATATATGCGCACGCACATGCACTACACCGCAGGAATCCTTTAGCTAATATTTGCACAATAATGTCATTGCTCCAGTGAGCGGCGACACAGACATACATGCGTACACACACACACACACACACACACACACACACACACACACACACACACACACACAGATAGTCAAATATGTATATACACGGTCTTTGCGCACTTATATATACTATAGCTATGACGCGTATATATATAAAATAATGCTTATCCTATACACTGCATAATAAGCGCGTCGCACAGCGCGGCTCGAGTGAAATCGGATCTTGTAATAATGCGCCGCCTGATCAAATGCATAATTGTAGTATATTGGCAATTCTATAAAAAATCCTTAAAATTAAAGACTAAATTTATGATGGAAACTTTTGTCACTTGACACGTAAAGGGGCATTAATCATTGTTTATGTAGGTCTCAGAAATGTATGTGCGAATTAGAGACGAAATACTAAACAAAACTTTAATTTTTCAAGTATTTTTTCATATTTTGACAAAAATTTTAATCACGATTGAATTTTGAATTTCGACGATTTTTTACAGACTTGCTCACATACTTTATGTTACGCATTACAAAAGAAAATAAAGAGAAATAAGAAAGAGAGAAATCAGCAGAATCATAATTGGAATTTTTTTATATTAATGTGTTGTATAACACGTAATTCAGTGTACAATTTTTAGCTTTGATTGCTTATCACTGGCGTTATAAACCTTAACATGTCCATTGAACTTCTACGTTGAATGAACATTAGAATTAACGAAATAGTTAATGACTTGTTTAATTAAGAATGTTCTTCACGTCGAAATATTCAATGTCATTTTGCTACCGAATTTTGAACAATTATTCTTTTTATCAGTCCAAGACATTGATTTCAAATTATGTGTATACAGATCCATAATACGTACAGTATGCCATTGTACGAACGTCAGGATTCGCAATCAATCGTTCAACGAGTAATGGCACGTAGAAGTTCGAAGCACACACACACACACACACACACACACACACACACACACACACACACATTTACGATTCACGAAAGACAGTTCAATTTATGATTTATCGTTGCATTGATAATATTGATTTATCTAATTGTCCGTAACGCGTGGGCAATAATTTATGCAAATCGACCGCGACGACTAAGTACATCGACGACGACGACTACGTCGAGCTTTAACTCAGAATGGATTCAGCGATTCCTTTTCCAATTACCAAATGTGCATAATGCATGCTTTAGGACACGCGCGCAGCCGAGCGAGTAATATAGTATCGGCTTTGATGTGTTTTCGACGGAAACTAGCCACGCGAATTCGTGCCCCCGATAAAATAGTTTACTTTTCCCCTATTTTTTATTTTGTTTTTGTATTATTTTTCATTCGTTTTACATTCGTTATTGGCGCTTGGCGAGTGTACGATCGGAACGGCGCGCATATCCGTGCCAGGTATTACAATATACATACTATGCCTGATAGTGCATAGGCACGAGAGAGACAGAGAGAACGAATCTACGCACGAACGAGCACGACGAGAGGCGCGCTTCAAGACGGACACACATTGCAACGAACAGAGACAATAACGCACACAGGAGGACTGAACTGCGCAAGCTGACGCGGACGAAAACAACGAGAGTTTTATAATTCAAGCGGCAGTTCTTTGTGTCCATTACAATTGCAGCCGTTTCTGTTGCTGCTGCTGTAGCCTGTGCTGTATATACAAAATATAATATGTGTTGCTGCAGCATACGACACGTACAGAGTAGAGGAGCGATCTCGCCTGGTGCCAGTGGCCTCCCACAACGTCCGGCATTTTAGTTTTTTCTTTTCTGTGTTTTTTTTTTATTCCCGGCTTTGGTCACTCTAAGCGAGCGCATACAGCTATTCGACATGATTACGCAAGAGATCGAGGTCTAATTATATATCCATACATACGAACATACTGACACACCGATGCAAGTCGTTGCATATGCGTGTGGCCAAACGCGCGCCGCGCGTACATACATTCGGTGCAGTATGCACGTTAACAGTCTGTCGAAGCTCCTACTTGCTTCGAGTCGCGCGCGCGCGTGTCTACGTACACATGAATGCAACTTTTTTTTCGTTTATTTTACCCAACTCAATCCAACCGAATTCTAAACTTTCAAGGTCTATCAACGCGTATAGCGGTTATATTATATTAGTGTAGTAGTAAACATTCAGCCTTTTAACGTGTTTTAAGTCTAAGTGCAGCGATCATTTTTCTCCTTTTTCACTCGGATTAGTAGGAGCTTATACATATACCATGCTTGCAAGTATTTATACTCACACACACTCACAGACGTTAGCTATAGCGCACACTATAACGCGTACACTCAAATATCCTTTGCATGCATAAACTAATTACGAAATAATTATGTAGAGCACTTTTGCGCTATGCTATGCAGTTTATTATTACAGTCCTGTGCTGCAGCAGCAGCAGCAGTGTACGCGTCCTTGTTTTCCGTCGTAACGATTAAATCTCTCGCTCGTTTTTATGTGTGAATTTACACGGACACGCGCGTACTCACACACACTTATTTACCAGCCGGACGAGGCAGCAACAATAATCGTGCGACGATTTGAACCAGGTATCGTGTGTTCGATGTGTACCTAATATACATAGGCTGCAAAAGCATGTATAAGCGCGGCTGCGATACAATAAATATATTACTTTTCTCTTTAATAAAGTCGACATTTATATACACGAAGTTGCGATTTGCACGATGTATCATTAGAATCCAATTATTTTCTTTCTCTCTTTCGACTCCGAATCTCTCTGCGATTGCCAACTTTTTTACCTTTCTCTCTCTCTCTCTCTCTCTCTCTCTCTCTCTCTCGGTCGGTTCACGCGATGTTTAATATATTATTTAACTAGCTAATGTTTCGTGTCGCGTACGTATACACTCGAAGGTAAAAAATGACGAGTGTAATTTTGGAAAATGTACTTTCAGCGATATTAACGAATACACGCACACGTGCGGGCACGCGGATCGTTAAGAGTACTCGTGTACTCTAGTAACAGCTGATGCATGTATAGAGGCTCGTCGCGCGTTTTATTTATCATCGTGTGTGAAATGAAAACGCGTATCGTAACGACGCTTTTTCTAGTTAAACTATGCTGCTACAAAATATTTACATTAAAATTAATTGTAAAAGCGGGACGAAGTTTTTGTCTATGAAAGTTAGTGTGAGAACGTCTCAAAACTTCTTATATAATCATTTTTTACTTTGACACTTGCAGATTTACAAAAAAAGTACTCGCTATCTAAAAATGGAGGCTGATTTTGATAACAATTGAATTTTTATTAAGAACTTGAGAAATTAAAGCCAAAAATTTTTAAAAGCCGTTGTTAATTCATTGCCAAAGAGTTTCCTCTAAAAAAAATATGCTTCTGCATATTTCCAAATGCTAATACAAAAAATGAATCCCTTTATTAAAAAAAGTTCAGATATGATTTTCAGACAAGAAAAAGATACATACATTATAATTTTTCTTTTGCAATATGCTGGGAGTACATTGCACCTGGATTTGAGGAAAAATGATTTGAGGAGGATAAGTAAACAATTTTTCACAATCCAGAATAATTAATAATTATGAAAAATACGTTATAATGTACGATAATGATGAAGAAAATATTCAATAACATTTTGAAATACTTTATTATTTATCAATAAATTGAAGGATACTTATATGAAAAATTTTTTAAAATTTGGTAGCGTATTCAAGTGATATTAGAAGTCTTTATTGCGTCCAAATTTCTCAAGACGAGTCTCACGCTCCTAGAATCTGCTAAAATCATGTACTATATTTATGTGACGTTTGAGGTGACCATTTTGTCCAAATGATTTTTGACAAATGTCACATTCATATGGTTTCCTACAATCATGTACTGTATTTATGTGCCTCTTGAGATTACTTCTATCTGAAAATGATTTGTAACAAATCTCACATTTAAAGGGTTTGCTCCGATTATGTGCTGTCATTATGTGCCTTTGAAGATTACCCTGGGATCCAAATGATTTTCGACAAATATCACACTCGAAAGGTTTGCTGCGATCGTGTACTGAGTTTATGTGATTTTTTAGCACATTTTTGTATCCGAATCATTTGTGACATATATCACATTCGAAGGGTTTGCTACCATCGTGTACTTCACTTATGTGATTCTTGAGGGTACTGTTGTATCCAAATGACTTGTGACATATATAACATTCGTAAGGTTTGAGAAGATTATGTACTGCATTTATGTGTAAGCTGAGGTCACCTTTTCGTCCAAATGATTTGTGACAAATCTCACATTCAAAGGATTTACTACGATTATGTACTACATTGATGTGAGATGCAAGATTACTTTTTTGTCCAAATGATTTGCAACAAATCTCACATCCAAAAGGTTTGCTTCGATTAAATATTGAATTTATATGTAAGTTGAGGTAACCTTTCTGTCTAAATGATGTATGGCAAATGTCACATTCAAAGGGTTTGTTCTGGTCATGAACTTCAATTATGTGTTTCCTGAGGTATCTTCGATATTTAAATGAGTTATGACAAATTTCACATTCATATTTTGTTTAATTCTTTCGTGTGTCGTGCTGACACGCTCTTTTAGATTCGCTTCCCTTTCATAAGTGTTTCGCTCCAATTCATATTCATGAGATAATTTGTTTTGAGTTCCGTTCATAAATATCTCATCTCCTCGGATTTTTCTAGATTTAATTGGGACTTTTTTTCTAATTGACAGTTATTTTCGTAATCGAATCCTTTTTTAATCAAAATTATCTGATTTTTATCATTTAAATAATCAGTCAGTATTTGTTTTTCCATTTTTAAAATCGGTTGAAAATTCTGATACTCGGTTTTGCAGATGTTTGTCGATAGTTCAGGTTTAACATATTTGCACTCAAAATCTACTGTTATATTATCACCCAACTTTTCCTGTAATTACATAACCTCATTCGTGTGATTTACCTCAAATTAAAATTATTTAACAGTTTTTGATAGTAGTTTAACAGAATATAATTAAAATCATTGAACTTACTGGTAATTTATTGAACGGCATTGTTTCAAAGTTTTTGGCTTCGTTAGAATTTTCTGAATCGAAAATATTATTGTGGTCTGCATCTGACCAAGCATCTTTTGGTTCTTTTTTGACCCTAGATAATATAAAAGTTTAATTAAACGATCCCTTCAAAAAATACTACGACATCCATAAAAACTTAATACCTAATTCCGCTCTTTCTGCTTTCCATCACTCGCTTAATTATATGTTATCACTACATTTGTAAAAAATATTCAAGGTTATGTGCCTCGAATAGCCAAGACTTTATCTCAAATTTACCAATTTGTAAACACTCTTACTGCAGAAATTTAGCTCTTTACGATGTACTAGCAATTGTACGCACTTACTCGTACATAAAGCGAGTTGACCCCGCGAAGCTTATTTTCTCCTTCCACTGTCAACTAGCCATAAGCAGTACTGCGATACATTTGGATGCACTAGAATATCATTAAAACTACTCAAAAAATGCTGTGAAAATGCCACCATTCAGGGGCATAATTTCCCTACACATTTCTGTGATATATAATGTGAATATTCGCGCATAAAAGAGATATAAATTTCTAAAATTTTCACATGAAAATTATAATTTTATCAATAAAAATAAATGGATGTCCAAAATTGTAATACGAAAAAAAATTAAATTCTGAGATATTCTTATCAAACTGTAAAAGGGGAAACATCGGTAATATTCAATTGCCACAAGTTAGTAATACTCGATGCATTTGCAACCTTATAAAATGAGATGCATACAAGTGCAATCTGCATCAACGTAAAAGGTTTATTTAACAGAGTACGTCACAAAATTTTCAGCTCGATGAATTTCAAAAGTTTCTTTTTTTTTGTACCAAAATGCGTAAGGTATAATTGCAAGTGCAAGTATGGCGTTACGCGTGCATAGGAGAATCGACGTTTCTTAATCAAATAGATACGACTATGGCGAAAAATTAGTTCACATTCAACCGAATAATTGTCATTTACTCGGGGGTACGTTGATGCACAACGGGGCTCGAGTGCACCAGCAGTGTGTCAGATGTCTTACCTACGCTCTGCTACTATCGCGCCGTGGTACATACGTGCGTTCCTCGTTCGTATCGTAAACGCACTCGTAATGTATAAATATATACACGTAGCACATGTGCACTTTGGACGACACAGAAATAAGTATGCCGTATAAACATTTATTTTCTTCTTTCTGCTCGATAAAGTGCACGTGGCCCGCTTATACGTTTAGGCTTAAAAGCTTATTTTTATATAAAATCTCGTGCCTCGTTGGCAACTCGCTCCTTTAAGAGCTCGAGTGCACGTACTCAATAATCGTGATTTCGATAAATACTGTATCTTAACTCGCATTTCTTCTCGATATTTCCATCTCAGCCGCGATAAAAATGAAAATTTGATAAACAAGAGAGCTTGCGAGGAGGACGTTAAAACACCGTAGAGGCTCTGTGCCAGACGATGCGATCGGATGAATCTCCGGCGCAGATTTAATTAAACTTCGAGCCTCGAGTAATGCTGGAAAATGGCACGCCCACGGGAATCAAAGTTAACGTTAACTATACATTCGGTAGCCGCTTGTATAAATATATATAACGTATAAAGGCAGAGAGAGTAGTGTTATCTGTATAGATATTTTCAGGTATTTCTAAAGTCAAGGCCCTTCTGTGCGCTATTAATATCAAGGGAAAATCGGTAATGACATTTTGCCCGATTCAGCAGCAGCAGCAGCAGCAGCTCGTATATACTATACAGCGACGAGGAGCGCGGAATTTCTCATGGAAATTTTTTAACGAGTTTTTCTTTGAGGTGCCTGCAGCCGCTATAAGCACCTGGAGCTTTTCAATAGATTCTCGAGAACTTTGTATATGTATATGCTTTTTAATGCATCGATTAATGACGCGGGCGCGTGCTTGAACTTCATTTCTAGAACGAAGAGATCGTTTGAAGCAAGTGCTTATGTTAAACGTGTCTGTGTATGTGTGCGTGTTTGCACGTATATTATACGTGGAGTCGAGTGAGTGTTAAGCAGAAGCCAGAACCTTTCATTAACCAATTGACCATGTGTGTCGCGCACACCTCTCGAGCCCGTTGGAAAGTAGTTGTGCACTTTTCTTTCTCTTTTTTTCCGCTCTCTCATCCTCCCTCCCCTATATAAAGCACGAGTGCGCCGACAAAGAAGCTTTTACTCGACAGCTTCGGATTAGTGGGCACTTGATACACAGGTTGGTGCGACTTGTGCAAGCCGTTACTCAAACATTAATGTAGCTGCGCAGAAATTCATTTTACGCTCGATTTACAATTCAACTGAGCTTTATATACAAGCACTTGGCTGCTTTTGGTCTCGAATAGTATCGTTTTTCATGCCAGTAATTTACTCAAGACGTTATTATGAGGTGTGGAGTCGCAATTTTTCCCTAAATTAAAAATTAAATATCATATTTTCATATTTCATGTTAAATATACTTAATTGATACAAGGTTTTATCAACTTTTTTCCATAGTTATTGTTCAAATTTGTACACAAAAAAGATATTCCGAAAAAATTTAATCATTTTGGGAGCATATTAATACTATCAAAAACATACAAGTGAAGAGGTAATCAAGTTGGATGAGGATTTTCACCAAAAATTCATAAAGCCTCCTTTCATTATCAACTAATACCTTGAAAATACACGGGGTGAAAAAAAAATAAAAAGAACGGCTTGCGTTATGTATCGAGATCTGCTAGTAATTCCCGTTTGTTATGAGTAAAAAGATGAAGAAAAAAAGGCGAATTACAGTGTTTTAAAGCAATTTTAAAAATAACGAACCCTCAAATACATATTTTTAACATGACACATAAATACTAACACGTGCATATTAAATTATATGCATTTACACATGCTTGTACAGCTCGCAATTTAATTTGGTGTGTACATATCGCTGCGAACGTATCTTATTATAGAGTAGCGGCTCAAAGAAAAGAAAAACAGTATGCGATTTACTGCCTATACGGCCGGGGAGATAGTTCAAGGTCGAGCGAGTGCACGAGTATGCGTTAACCGTACCGCGAATCGTACGTATGTGTCTGCATAAGCGAATGTGTACATATGTCCACGTATACACGGCAATAGACGTTGCAGCTCTAGTACCACAGGTATACTGCACAGTGGCTGCATTCATTAACGTGCTCTGCACTTATTGCATGAATACACATAAGTTCGAGCTCATACGTGTCCATGTCCTACAATGCTGACACAGACACATGAACGCGTACTTGCGGCGACCCGCAAGCTTATGCACTATAATTTACAGCGTACATGGAAATTTTTGCTCGGAGAATTGCCGATCGGTTATACCACACAATACGTAGGATTGATTTTCCCTTTACATGTATGGACCTGAGAAGGTGCTTGCAACTTTTCACGCGAGCTTTAAAGTTTACTGATTCCATCTTGCACATCACATACATATTATTCTTCCGCTGAGTTCGGCTGAGAGATTATGTGCGTAAAGCTGCAAGCTCACTGCGCATAGTAGTAGTGACGACAGAGCTCGCAAAGCTCTGTATAATACGCGTGACTTTTCTAAAATGCGCATGGCCGGGCAAATATGTGCATACATTCCAAGTGCACAGTAGCAGTTCACTCGCTCATACTCATTCTCTCTCTGCCTTTTTCATGCCAAAGAGCCCGAGTAAAGGAAGCTCCAACATGACTATGTGTACACGCATTCCTCAAAAGCACACAAGCTATTTTCGAATACTTTTCAGCAAGTAACGCCCATAGAGAAAGTCCCGCATTGCACAGACACACACACACGCGAACGTTCTCACACTCACATAGGGAAACTCGAGCTGCGGTAGTACGCGAAAGCGAGCGAGCAAACGGTGCTGCACCTAAAAAGCTCTTTGCTCGATGGTATACCGCGATGCTTTACTTTATAATAATCATAAAATTCTCCGCGCGCGAGCACATGAGTGCGTTATATATTGCGCGATATCCCACTGATACACGATACACAGATGTACATAACGGAGAGCTCGAATTGGTTTTTAGCAAAGAAAAAAAAAGTTTATCGCGTCTATTGTATGGAAAGCAAATCTCGACTGTGCAAAAGAACGATATTCCCGGCCGCTGTCATAGGCATGTAAACACAACGCGCGCGACTATAATGTCGAAGACGAGCTTTTTAGCTTATTTTTATCACAAGTGATAGCCCCGATACCGATATACAAATTACTGTTTAGATGATTATTTTTTAGCGCGTACCTTCATTGGCGCTTCCAATGCAGATAAAAAGGTCGAGATAAAAGGCTCTTTCAAGTTCTTGTAGTAGTATGTAATACATATAAATGTCATCGCTCTTCTAGTCTAGTGCTAATTCTTCTCTAAAATTTGTTATCTTTACTGCTGAGTGATGGTTGTGTCCTTTTCTTAAAAAAAAAATAATAATCTTAATCTTGCTTATTTTTATGTATATAGCAGCGCGCCGAATCTGCACCGATAAGTATTCTTAAACTTGTACGAACTGGTCGCTTATATCACACATTCTTCAGGAAGAGAGAAGCGTTATTAAGATCGTGAAAATACGCGCTAGATAATGCAAATGAGTCAGTTTCAATTAAGACGCCAGCATGCGGGCTTATGCGATCAACGTCTATGTAACAACATCAAGTACTTACAACTAAAACAAACAATAAAAAATATAAAACATTTTATCGAACTTAAAATAATTATAATATAACAAAATATTTGTAGGGTGAATTATTATTTTACATATTATAACCATATAACTTGCTTTCGAATCTCTTTCTTTAGCTTTATGTTGAGATGCTTGCTCAAAGTTTAGCTATCCAATGGTAGTTCATTATAGCACTTGACAGCACAATATGTAAACATCAAAATTTGGTGGCAGCGCTTGATGAGTTCTTCCAAAAGCAATATATACCGATTTATCCATGTTTATTATAAGCCGATTCTCATAAAGTCAAGCATAAATTTGATCCAGCTTCCTTGATATTTTATCACTTAATTGAGGCCAAGTACCTGCACTCATGAAAATCGCCGTGTTATCCGCATATGCAATCACGTCAGTATGATGATGCAATAGGTCATTTATGAACAGCAGAAACAATAATGGTCCAATTATAGACCCTTGAAGTACACCAATATTTGTATTGGCTGGAGTACTTCTCACACCATTTACTTTTACCACTTGAGTTATGTCAGCCAAATAATTTTCTACGATCCTAAGGGCTGTGTCGAAAGCCTTGGTGTAGTCCAAATGATGGTTTCTTCATGCATAGTCCATCATATACAGAACCAGTAAGTTGTG